GAATTATTTTTTGAAGTAAGAAGTCCCAGTATTTCTACTCATTAAGTGCCAGGCTACTGTTTTATCTATGACATCTAGTTTATAGCCCAGGATCAGTTTTGCCATTTCATTTTTTTTACTTAGTATCAGAAACAATATGGAGGGTCCTAAGTGTTATCTTATGTATTGCTGTTATTGAAACACATCTGGTATGTCAATGGAATTTTTGGGGTATGTCTGTGTTAACATCCAGGTCATGCATATAAAGTGATATCATAAGAAAACTTGATTTGAAGAAAGATTATCAGGGGTTGAGAGTTTTTGCTAGTCAAGGTCCATTCTTGGCTATTCTTCACCCAGTTGTCATGTCAGCAGCATACAGCAGCAGTTCTAGAATGCTCAGTTTATCTTTACTGAGGGATATTCCTCAGGTGCATCACACTGTTTTTTGAATCTTCTCCATTTTTTATCTAGTTAAGATGGAAATGAATATGTTTTATATCTGCCTTCTAGTAGTGTGAACTATGTCAACAAGGATTTTAATTTCTTCCCGTTTATTTCCTCTAGGTCTTGTAAAGTTTAGAGACATCTATGTGTTCAGAAGATTGACCAGTTTTCTTTGTTCTCCTTCCAGCAATCATATTATTTATCATGGAGCCTTCTCCTGTTTTTTTTGGGTATTTTTCCATGTCACTGCAGATATGCATTATGGAGTTTGATGCCACCTCTCTGCTGATTCTTGTTGAAAACTGTTTTCCTGAGTTGTTCTTCTTTGTACAAGATGGACCTACCTTTGTTCAGTTGTCCTCTGTGCCAGAACACCACCTTGTGGAAAAGGAAAGCAGAGCTTTATCTTGCTTGGTTAGAAGGATTGAAAAGACTTGAACCTCCAGATCCTTCTCTTTTATGTTTTTCAGTTACTTTTGAGAAGCTCTAGGGAATATTTGCCATTGCTGTGTCTGTCCTTATGAATGACCTTCATGGAATAAAAATCAGAAAGCTGAAGGAATCTCAGCACCTTTAGTAGAAGTAATGAAATAGTGATAGAGCTTAAAAGGTGTGTTTATTTAATTTGTTTACATTTATTGTTACATTAGGGAGATTTTACTGCTTTAATTAAAAGTTACTAGGGTTTTCTATAATGAACCTAAATTTGCAGCTATTTATAGTTGGAAGAAAATGTTTCCATGCAGAAATTTGGCATTCAATGTCTCAAGCTAAATGGTTTGGTTTTCCTTTTTCTATTTCTTTTAAAAATACTCTTTGGCTGCATTCTGTTTTGAGGGAGGCAGGGTTTTTTATTTTTTTTTTTTTTTGTGGTTTTATATGCTTTTTTGTGCTCCCTTGGCAAGACTTGATACATGGAAAAAAAAATTTTCCAGGCTCTTAGTCTTTTATGTCAGCTATTTCCTTTTCGATATTTAAAACATGATACTTTTTTAACAGAGACCCTGTATTATTCAATAAGCAGTCACCCCTAAGTATTTGCCATTACTACTTTTCATATATTGTTACATAAAAACAGTTCATATAGTTCAAGTTAGTAAATATTTTTTCTGAAACAAAATTGTATACCTGGCATGTTTAGTGGTACTAAAATTGGTACTTGTGTATTTCTGCAAAGTTCACAATTTCTCATTCATTGAAAATGTAGAAATTTGTTTTCATTTTTCTGTTTCTATTTTCTAATTATTATCTGTGTGGCATTTAATACCATACTTGAAGGAGTTGAAATTCTCTAAGTTGGTCTCGTTGGTTCAGAAAATCATCCCTTTTACCCAAGGGTGTGCTGTACATTTGAAATGCTCCAGTTAGAGTTTGGGGAAATGAGTCTTTTAATTCAATGGTCTGATGCCATCCAGGTAGTAAACAGCTAAGTGTTTAAACTCTGCCTAAGTTCTTACAGACTTCAGTGTGTTCTGTACATTTGGAGCTTGACTAGTGAGTGCAGATGGCATTGAGCCTGGCACAGAATGTGACTCTTGACTCAGGTGATTTCTTCAGATGTTATTTAAGTAATGTCCAGATACTCTGCAAGTGTGCAACTATGACCAGAAAACTTCCTAGAACGTGGAGTCTCCTCTTTCTTCCCAACAGCTTTGTCAAGTACATATTTCTTTCTCTCTTGGAACAATGTCCCAAGAGTTACAGATTATTCACAGGACAGGTGAGATTCCTTTACTCCTTGGATTCAACTTGGGCTACATCATAGAAAAATGCTAGTCACTTTAGCAGAAGATGGTACACATACTCTTATAGTCTCCAATTTTTTTCTGAGTTCTATCCAGCAGCAATGGACTGTAAAATATATAAACAGTACACTGGGATTTGAACCTAAGTATTCTGCCTGTCTTTGACTTGCTTCTTATCTGAGCTTTAGGAATGAAGCACAAGAGAAATTATTACTTATGCTGGTGAGAAGGATGATCAGAACAGAATTTGTGAGATGAAAAAGAAACTGGCCGAGGAGGAAATAGGAGATAATATTGAAAGCAGATTTATTAGACTGGAAAGACATTGCTGGTAGAGTTCCTCCATGATGTTTTTAAAATATCTTTCTTCTAATCTATTTTTTTTGAGATAATATATGTTTGTACTAAAATAAGGTAATGATGTTAGTCCAAAAGTTTTCACAAGAAAGTATCGAGGTGGTAATATCTGCTGATAACAGAAGGACAGGAGACATTTTCAGTACAACATTGGATGCCACACAGGAGAAACTGAATAACATTGAAGATAGGAGCAATCAAGGTACCATAAATAAAATTAGATTAAATACAATGCAAAACAAGACTCTTCTGGACTCAGAGGCAAGAAGTTTACTCTAAGCTGTTATGAGTTCATCAGCTTGAAGAGTATACAAATTTGTCTATAATATTGCCTTGAGTTTCCAGTATGTGGGAATCATTCCCTATGTGGTTCTCAGTGTTGTTCTCACTTGGTGAACAGTGAACTGAAGTTGAGACTGACTAGTGAATAGGAAGGCTATAGAGAAAATCAGGGGCTGAGACTATGGTTCCAGAGAGATTGATTATCTAATATCACAAACAGAAAATAAAACCAATACTTGAATGCCTTTCTGCAATATACCCTCCAAACTTTTGACCCCTATGAACTCCAAGGGCTGCAGACATCACCTGATGTGTCTGTGTGAACTGTTCGGAAAAGACAAGTACAGCTCTTCACTCCCACAAAATTTTGCCACAGTAGGCACTAAACAGGATTTACAAGATTTGGTCTAGAAAATGAACACTTTTTTTCTCAAAGTTTATGGGCATTTTCCATGCTCTAAATTATGTTTTGGTTCACATAATCTATCTTAGCTCTCTTTTTATTTTCCAGTCACAGCTTCACTCATAGCACAGCTGTGGCATTTGTCTTGCAACAAGAAGGATCTGATAATCATGAAATAACCCAGATTTATGCCCTTAGTGCTGAAGCAGTGCCATATTTGTGAAAATAACTTAAGAGGAACAATATGCAGCAGATGTGAAGGTTTTACCTTCACATTTAAGTAGGTTTATACTGTCAGTGAGTGTGGGCTTAGCAGGGCCTGACAGAGTTTCAATTTACCAGATGTTCCATGTGATCAAATAGATGCTATACAGCTGTTTCCCATTCTTTTTACCGGGCTCAGATAAATACACAGTAAATGGTCTGAAATATATTTATTGTATTTTGGCAAGTCCTACAGAGAACTGCCCACAGGCACCAAGAATGCAGGGAGAAACCAAGGGTGCTCATAGGCATGTTCATTTTCCATTAGTGAGGAGAAATTAGCTGCTGTGTGGTTAGAACAACCCTGATGATACTAGTCAGAGAGGAGTAAAATATGGGGTTTTCCTTTGGCTGTGGATGTTGTGAGATTAGTGGCTGTATTTACGGAGTGTCTCCGGTCTGGAGGAGCTGTTACTCCCACGGCCAGAAGCTGTCTCCCTGAGCTGAGTGTCACCCTTCCAGTGGTGTTAAAATCCTTGGAGAGGTGGTGGGTTCAGTGGAGCAGCTGTCCTGCAGGTAGCTCATGCTAATCCCAGCTCAGGCTTTCAACACTGGAATGGAGAACTGGTTTGGCTTCTGTCCTCAGTGCGATACAGAAAACAGCAAATTTCCAGAGCTTCTGGCAGGGCTGCCTGTGTCTCTCCTGTCCACTCCTGAGCATGGGCAGCATGCCCCAAATTAGCCATGGGGTGTGTTTTTAAGGGCACACAGCTTTTGGGGTTTAATCCAGCCAACTGCTCTGAACTGTTTCAGGATTTATAGGTCCAGTTTACATTAACTGCCACACCTGTCAACTTGATTCAATCACAGAGCAGCTAAATAATAAAAAAGGAAGTTTCATTTCCCTTCACCTGCTTTCCTGTTCTAATTTCTCCTTCCTCCCCCTCCAGTTCCCCATACTCTCCTTAGCCCTTTGACCTTACTGCTGCCTTCCTTCCCTCTTGTCTCTGTCGGCCTCCTGCCTTTCCATAGCTGCTCTTACACCTGAAAAATTCTTCTTTTCTACTAGAGGCTTTCCTTGTTCTCCTTTAAATCCCTTTTTAAAACCTTCATTTTCAGTCAGATAAATAACTTTAATTTTTCATTAATAATCTCTTTAACATTTCTTGACTGCTGTGTTCTTTTCAGATTTATAGCCAAGTCTTGCAAACATTTACAGAGAAGTACCTGTTTAGTTAAATTGAGAACATTCAGTTATAAGTTTGGAGGACTGGATTGTTCATTGGAAAGATTTTTGAAATGGAAATATTTCTCTCTGTTCATTTAAGGTTTTATATACATTTTTAATAAACTTTTGTGACCAAAAAGGAGCAATGGAACATTCACTAACTCCTGTTTTTAACTTTTATTCCTTAGGTCAAGGTGTGGAACATACTCTCACAGATTTTTAAATGCACTGAGCAAACTTAATGTTGATAATATAACTTTATACCCTAAATCATATAAAAGGACAAGTACAAGCTGTACCTTTTGATCTTGGTGACCTTAATGGGTTTTTATTTCAGTATTGATTTTTATTTCAGGAACCTCAAGCATCTGGTCTGCCTGAGTACATAAAGATTGTAGAAGTTGGGCCGAGGGATGGTTTACAAAATGAAAAGGTAACTTTTCTCTTTTTATTTTTGTGTGTGCTTTGACTTGGATGTTAGCATTATTTTCATTGTGTAGAACATGTCCATCCTGCTAATTATGTTTCTTTCATTTTGTAATGTTAAATATATCTATTTTCATATTGATAACTTTCCTTTATATTAGAATGAAAGTGTATTCCTATTTACCCAGCTTTTAGATCATATAATTTCTTTCTATACTTGGCTATCTAGCCTTTCTGTTACTCAACATTTCTTTTTACTGTAATTTGTCTTGTCAGTCAGTAACATTATGTTGTGACATAATTGGTAAACACTTTGAAACACTGGCTATCTTTGTAACTTGTGTTTCTGCTTCAAGTGTTAATGTAGAAGGAATAGTGAAATAGGTTTTGTCACGCTTCTTGCTGGAGAGACACGGGAAAAAATTATTGCTCTTTTGATAGCATTATTTGCCTGAAGGGAGGGGAAGGGAAATTGCTTGGTAGGGAAGCATGGAAGAAGATTGAAAGAGATTATGGGGTAAATGTGTAGAAACAGTCATCTATTTCCACAAATGGGAGGATAAGATCACATATATCGTTACTGATATCAGAGATACTAGTGGTATTAGCAGAGTAAGACTTACTCTGCCTCAGCTGTGCAACTTTTTTCCTCCCATTTTTTGCTGGTCACACTGTTAGTATTTTCTTTGTCAGTTCTTGCTAGTTTGGTGTTTAGTTAATAAGAAATAACGAGGACAGGTCTATAACCAGTTACACAGAAGTGCTTCCTTTTGTGATGGACAGAAAATGGAGTAAGATCATTGTATACTGCCTAGTACCTTCCTTGTACCTTCCTTATACTTCCTTCTTTCAGGAAGCGGTAATTATGGTAAAATGTGTAAGTCTAGTTCATTATTTTTAAAAAAGTATTGATTATGTACAGGAAACATTTGTCTTACAAAAGTTTCTTATGCATGAAATACTTCGTTAAAGTATATCTTCATGTCTACAGATGATAGTCCCAACTGATACAAAAATTGAGTTCATCAACCAGCTTTCCAAAACAGGCCTGCCTGCAATAGAAGTGACCAGTTTTGTTTCATCCAAATGGGTGCCTCAGGTATGTAAAATCAGCTTCATTCAGAACTATTTCAGTTTAAGTGACATTCCATTTATTTATGTAACATTAATTTGAAAATAGAGATTTGGGATGGTGGCACAACATTAACATAATTTAACGTTGCTCCTACTTCTTTGCTACTCTTCTAAAACTAGTAGTCATTGATGTAAAAAAGAAAATTAGTATACGTTATTTTCTTTTACTTTAAATGAAATATAGTTTTCCGCATTTGGAAATGTGTTTGGAAGATCTAAATTTGGGACTTCTGTATATGTAGTAGTAAGGCACATTACTTATTTTGGAGTTCTAGAGCTCTAGCAGCAACTACACTTAATTTTTTATAAGATTGTAGTAATTTGCTTATTATTTTTCTAGAATTAATTTTTACATTTGCTAGAATGCAGCAGAAACCTAGCCTTTCTTGAATTGGCAGCAGAACTGCATTGGCATTAGATTGCCATGTTTCCATTTGAGATTTAACACTGCAAATTCAGGCTTAGTCCTGAAGTTTAATATTTAGCACCTGTTTGTATTAATTGCAAATTAATTATTTTCTGCAAATAAGGAAATAAGTAAATACTTGTATATGTAATTTAAACTATTCTTCAAGAAACTGCACACTTGTTTGTACAGGAGAATTTGAATACTTTATATTGGACAAGGAGCATATAAGTTATTTAAAAATTAAAACAAGACGTTAATTAATTTGAGAAAATACTTCCATTTTAACAATGTCTATTGCATGTTGCACATCTGACAAAATGCAGATAAAGTTTTTACATTTTAATCTGAGAATAGATCCTGGGCCTGGACTGTATTCTAGGCTTTTCTCTGAGAAAAGCATAGTACAGCCATGCTTCTTCATGAGTTAGCAAAGCAAATTGTACAACACTCTGAGGGACTCCTTTGCTTTATTTAAGTGCTCTCAGGGTCACCAGGGAAGAGTCTAGAAGAAAGATAATAGGGAAGACCCACAGAAGAGTGACAATGCAGAATTTCTTTGGCGTCAGTGCAGGGGCAATGATATCTTGTATGCTAAGGTTGAAAAGGTTAAGTTTTTCTAAGTGCCATCACACTTTGCCAGTTACTGCAACAGAGAATAATGTAGTGTTTTAAATGTTAGAAGAACAAGTCTGAAGCAAAGGTGTATTTCTTCCTTTCTTAATTATTTCCTTCTCCTGTGAGCCTTTACGAGGACCAAATTTAGCACAGGTTTGTTAGTTTAGAAGAAAATGAGCAATCCCTTCTTGTCTTAAATCCAGGTCTGAATACTTTGTTTTAATAGCTTAATTAGTGGTTTTTTATTATTTATTTATTTATTAGGTTTTCTTATTACTTTTATTTAAAAGATAAGATTGTGTTGCTTTGACAGAGAGTACACTCTTGACTTTTTCTTTGCACTTTCTTTTTTTCATAGGTCATGGGAATAGAATTTACTATGAGGCTTTAGATCACTCATTCACTTATTTCTGTTTTTAGTATTTTATGCCATTTTCGTATTTAAAATGGTATTTTATGGTTTCCCATCCACTGTTGTTTTTGGCAAAGATTTTTTTTTTACTGAAAAATCTAAAAGAAAAAGTTTCGCAGTAGCAAGGTGCCATATAAAACAGGATCCCACACCTATAACATAAACAGCTAAAAAGTATAAATATCTACTATTAGGAAGCTTATTTTTTAAGAAATTGGGAAAAGAAATGTATTACTACAATTTAAAATCTTATAACATGCAATATGTGCAAAGTTGGGATTTTACTTACAGGAAAAATAACAATGGGACAGATTCAATACTCCAGATTCAACTGGAGTTGGATCTGGCAGGTTTATACTGGTTGAAAAAGTATCATTTTGGTTTTCCAGTATATTTTAAGACAGGCTATAATTGTGGAGAGTGAATTTAATTCCAGCATTTGCCATTTAATTTATCATTTGGATTCAGACATTCTTTTTTGCCCTGAGAAATGTAGCTACTACTTATATTAAGTTGAGGAATAAAAAATTGTTCCTAAAATACTAACAGAGATTTTTGTGATGTTATCAGACCAATTTAATTCACATAAGAGCAAATACAAAAAGTTTTGTGCTATCACTTATTTCTGGATAAGAAACAAGTTGTGTCTGGCTTTAAAACACTTCTTGCACCATGTATCCACTTCCTTATAGATACATGTTGGGTTTATATTTGAAGATGAATACATGGATTTTTCTGATATTTTTAATCCATTCATTTTCATAGAAGGAAGCCGGTGACAGGAAGATTCCAGGTTATAAGTAGTATTCTTAGTTAATAATGTTTTATAATTTAATATCATGTATTTAGAATTGTGGTACTATACTGGAATTGTAGCTATCAATAAGGTATCTGCTGAATGTAAGGAGTAATAAAAACTCTGTAGTTCATGTATATTTTCACATGGTACTTCTCAAAATACTTTTCACCAGTGTGGAAAGAAACAGAAATCCAACATAATAGTGTTTGCTTGAGAGATTGCTTCTATGAGAACTCATTTAAAAAGCATTTAAAATGCACTATTCTTTTTTTAAAACTCAGAATCTTTAAAATATTACATAAGAGGGATATGTTTTATTAATTGTATTGTTTTCAGGTATGCACATCATAGAAAAAATTTGCTTTTAACGCACTTCTTTTAAAAAAATCTGTTTATCTAAAGAATCTGCCTTTTATTAAATGAGTGTTTAATTCATCTTCTTCATTAGTACAGGGAGTATATTTAATCTTGAATGTATGAGAAAAATGTAAGAGTATCTTAAAAAGGCAGATTTTATTTTGTGAGGGTAGACTAAGAAAAACAAGTACTCTGATTTTTGCTATAATAAAGAAGTATTTTCTTGTTTAGAAAGAAACTTCTGAATATATTAAAACATTGCACTATGTGGACAACTGGATTTTGCTTTATTCTTAAGAATAGATATGTTTAGTCTTCAAATGTTCTGATTACAGTATTCAGTAATTCAAGTTCAGTTACGCTTAATATTGTGAAGTTGCATTTATCAGTGCTGAAGTTTTCAAGATTTCTATGATTTTTAAATCTCAGCTATTCTGTTAATTTCACCTATTAAGTCCAGTGAAGCAAAATACAGGTTGCTGTAACACTTTATGAACAGCATGATCATGTCTGTCCATTTATGATGCACATTATATTTTTACAAATACACACAAAGGAACACTGTAGAAGTCTTAGCCCCAGTTCTATAATCATATAGATCTAAAAAGATCACAAGACAAATAAGTCAGAAATTAAGAAAAGAAAAAAGAGTATTTGTATAAAGTCAGTTTAACCCCTTTATTGTTAGACTTTTTGTATGAACTATACAAGTAATGAAGGCACAACCACAGTCTAAGTAAATTTCTATTTAGCTATGTAAAATCAGAAAATAACTGTTGATCAACAAATTATTTTAGATGGCAGATCACAAAGAAGTAATGAGTGGTATTGAGCGGCATCCTGGAGTACAGTATCCTGTTCTTACACCTAATCTTCAAGGTTTTCATTCTGCTGTAAGTGCCTTCATAAGAGTTGTCCACATTTACCTCTTTTATGTTGCAGACACTTTCTGTTCAGTACCAGAAACTAGCTTTTTAATGTTAGAAGTAAGCTGTAGTTTTTTTTTTGTGCTTTATCTCTATCCTGTATTTAGTGATATAATGAAGGGAAAACAATGAAACAATAGTTGTAGATTATTCCTGCATTCTTCCTTGCTGATGTTTTTTTCCCTCTGAAAGAATATTTGTCTCTGAATTGTCTCTGTTGCTGAATTTTAGACATTACCCTGCAGAAAGTAAATGCAAAAACTTCATACTTTTTCATTGAACAAGAGTGTTATTCTTGCTGGAGAGTGGGAGTTAGTTAGTTAACTATTCTCCTAAGCTTAAATGTTTTCTTCTCCTATCAGCTGGCTTTCAGCCTTCTAGTTTGCCTCATGTTAGTTGATTTACTGAGGTACTGAATACAAGTTCAGGCTAATTGCCTGTTCAGTGAAGTCACCACATTTACACATTTTCTAGACTGGTGTTTGCTCTGAGACTTCTCTCAGCAGACTCTCATGTACACGTTTTCCATATTATCCTTATTGACTGTGACACCAAGACCAATGGAGCCCTTGATCCTAGAGTTGGCTCTAACAAGGAAATCCCTGTTGGTTATTGTTGCTGCTCTAGGCACATGCACACAGAGAGCTTTCCCAAGAATGACTTCCTGGTATTCAGGAGGAGCAGACAGTGTGCGAGTTGTTGTATGATCTTTTCCTTTTCTGAAAAGATGAATGTAGATATCAATCATTGTTGTTTGTATAGGTGATTCATGTGATTTCTTACATATTATTACCTTTATCATTCATCATTTAAACACTTTTAACTAATTGCTAAGAAGAGGCAGAAAATATGCCATAGTGAGTGATCACAAAATTTTATTCAATCTATCTGTATGCTCTAGCTTAAAAAAAAATTGGAATTAAAGTTAGATTTTAGATATACATGATATGCTTAATGTATTTTAAAATTTTAGAATGCTATACAGAATTAAATGCCTAATCTAATACTTTAATATAGTTTTATGATTCTGTTTTCTTTAAATGTATTTTTTAGATTGCAGCAGGAGCTACAGAAGTCTCAGTATTTGGTGCAGCGTCTGAATCTTTTAGCAAAATGAATATTAATTGTTCAATTGAAGAAAGCATGGAAAGGTTTGAAGAAGTCACTAAATCTGCAAGGAATATGAATATTCCAGTGCGTGGGTAAATATACAGATTCTGAAGTAATACAGAGTGACTGGAGTCATTGTTACAGGGGCTGTTTGGTACCAGTAGAAAAGTTTATCACCAAATTTTTACAATTTAGATGAATTGTAATAATCATCTTTTCTGTGTTTTTTATTTTTAAGATTGAATATACTTAGTTATTTTTTCATTTTTAGCTACTGATGGTGACTCTTTTGCTGTGGAAGCTGAAAAATGAAGGCTGTGTTTATGAAAGTTCATTATTCTAATTAATTTTTACTATCACAGATGACAATAAAATTTCTTTTGTTCTGTTGAGAATTCGTAACTCTGGTACCGTAATAAAATGCCCTACAAATTTTTATTTTATTGTAGAATTCATAATATATCACTACATTGCAGCATCAAGGTATAAAAGTGAGAAAACAAATTTACTCCAAAGAAAAAACTTTTTCTATATATAAATTATTTTGAAAACCCAGACATTGAATTTTTTGAGTCTCTAGTTCATGAAACTAGAATTGTCCAGCATTTATTTTTTAACTTAAAATTATCCTGAATGGTACTCACCCTTGAACAGTATCGATTTTCATTTCCATTTTCTTTTGCATCACAGGTAAGAACTACTTACCTCAGAGTAATTGTGAAGGTCCTTGTGATTATTTGTGAAGGTCCTTGTGATGTAGAAGGGCTCATATAGATTCAAGGGGAAATTCAGCAGAGAATCTAATCTAATCTACTAGGATTAGAATCTACTTAATCCTAATCTACTAGGATTGCTAGTAGTTTAAATTACATCATGCTCAGAAAATATCTGGACTTGAAAATAGGTAGAGGTAGATACCTCAGAGACTAAGTACTTTAAAATCAGTCTGCAAATAAATACTGGTTTCTCTCTTTTTTCCAGAAATAGTGATGAGGTAATGCTACTGCATGCTTTTTTTCCACAGCAGTGTGTGGTTGTTTGGGCATTTGCCTTAAGAACAGGAAGTCTGATTTCTGGTTATACCTCTGCCCCAGAGGATCACAGAACAGCAGCATGGTTTAGGTTGAGAGAAGACTCTGGAGACCATCTTGTCCAACCCGAGGATTTGTGGATGATGATTGGCAAAAAACCTGAGCCTAGCAGTGTGTGCTCACAGCCCTGAAAACCAGTTGTGTCCTGGGCTGTATCAAAAGCAGCATGGCCAGCAGGGTGAGGGAGGAGATTCTGCCCCTCCACTCTGCTCTGATGAGATGCCACCTAGAGTGCTGCATAGCGTTCTGTTCCCCTGGCACAAGAAGGACAAGATGGAACTGTTGGAGCAAGTCCAGCCGAGGTACTGAAGCATGGTTCAAAGTCAGGCTGAGAAAGCTGACTCTGTTCAGCCTGGAGAAGAGGTTTTGTGGAGACCTCATAGCAACTTTCCAGTATCTGAAGAGATCTACAGGGAAGCCAGAGGGCTACTCTTCGCCAGGAACTGTAATGATAGGACAAGAAGGAAAAGCTTCAAGATCAAAGAGTAGGTTTCAATTAAACACTAGGAAGACATTCTTTACTGTGAGGGTGATGAGGCACTGGCACAGGTTTCCCAGAGAAGTTGTGGATGCTCCATCCCTGGAGGTGTTGTTCAGGGCCAGTTGGATGGAGCTCTGAGCAACCTGATCTATTGGATGGAGGTGTTCCTGCCCATTTCAGAGGTGTTGAAACTAGATGATCTTTAAGGTCCCTTTCAACCCAAACCATACTGTGCTTCCATGATTTTCACTCACACACAAGAGCTAACCAAGGATTACTCATAAATGCTTGGGTTGTTTTTCTTTAGCTTGGGTGTTATTTCAGGAGGAAAATCACCAAATAGAGAAGTAAGGACATTTGCTGTATAAAGAAATAGTAACAGTTACAGTAAAGAGAGTTTAAATACTTTTTCCAGTTGCTAATCTTCCAGTAAAGTCATGATTTGCCTCTCTGAGCAACTTCTCGTATAAGAGGCCTGTTACTTAAAATCTCTCTACCACTGCTGTTTATCACATTTTTTCTGAAACTAAATTCTGATCTGAGAACATAACTAGCAATTTGAGTTCTCCAGGAGGATTAAGCTCAGGGATGTCTGAACTTTAGGTCTCAGACAGGTGTGGCTAAAGGAGTAGGCAGTCAATTCAGGCAAAACAGCAAGTGTATAGCAACAAACCTTATCCACTTGCAAACATTTTTACACTAAACTTCTGTTTTCTGTTTTTTTCAGATGTCTAGGCATGTCAGGAGATATTTTCTATTTCATATTCTTGCATTTAACTAATAAAATTCAACTAAATGGCACAGTGTAGGCAACCAACCATCCAGGAAATTCTCAAAGCCTATGTATTGTCAAAGTTTTTGGATTATTATAGAGGATGTCAAAAAAGGGGACTTTTCAACTTGTCCATAAGATGTAAATTGTAGGTGATGAAGAAGCCCCTGTGGGTTACTGTAGATTGGCTTTCTGCTTAAAATATTAACTTGTCTTCTGTGCACTATATTTCACATGTTTAAAAAAGTGGCAGCTTGGTGCTTTTCCCCCCGACAGATTACGTCTACTGCATTTGTAACATACCAGAAGCAACTATTGTGGCACTGATATGCTGATGTGATGAAAGTAACTGTTTCCATGACAGGATTCTACAACATTCCCAAACATTTATTGTCTACTATCTGACAAACCATGTGGCTTTTATTTTTCTTCACAGAGAAAAAAAAAAACCAAAAAAACCCAAAAAAACATAGAAGAACAGAAAAAAAATATAAAGAATGGAAACAAAACAAAGAGATAAAAGGGAAGAATATCAAGAACCAGGTGATGATGCAAACAAAACGCTATAGAGATGAAGAGAAAAGAGATAATTGAACTCAGGGAAAATACAATCAGATTATATTTTGAAAGCACTTATTTTGTGTATCCAGTACAGATATCTCTAATTTCAGTGCAATATGCAAACATAAGATAAACTTCATACAGTACATACTGGAAAACTTTATTGAGTCTGTCATGCCAAGCACTGTATGTTACAGAACACTTCTTAATATCAGATAAGCTACAAAGTGAGCAGATTCAGATCTGTGAATGGAAATTATGTTAAGTGCACTCCAGCTATAGCTTTCTTCCTTAGGCTTACAGGGCTAGGAAAAGTGAATCATTCAGAATTAAATAGCCATTAACATAATAATTCAATTTTTGGGATTCTAATGAAGTAAAGGATCCAAATAGAGAGGATATGTATATTGAAGCTACATTTATATGAATGTTACGAGTATCTTCATCACATTATATTCGTTTGAGAATTAATTTATCCCGTAAAAAATAGAGATTGAGGTACAAGAGGTAAGGTGATGAAAGAATGTTACACTTTAACAAATTGAAATGTTTAAGAGAGAACTGCTGGTATTTTTCCAAGGGTGATGTAATACAACTCAATAATAAAGTAGCCAATCTGCTAAAAACCTGCTGAGAATCTAAATTGCAGTATTTGGAGCCTTATTTCATAAGAAAAAACCCTTTCTGAGGCAATAATTCTTGGTATCCACTGAACCTCGATTTCAGTATATGAAAATATTGGAAAGAAGGTTTTGAACACTATAATAAGTTAGAAGATAAAAGAGAATTGGTTAACCCCATAAATTTGGATTTTAAGTACACTTTTAAAAAATCCAGACCAGGAAGATTTAGAGGAGTCAAAATAGTAATTAATGAGAAATAAAATAGTACATGGATCAGACTCTAGACAAATATGTTTTAAAGAGAATAATTACAAAATATTGTGATATTCTGACTCATGTCTCTCCCTGTTCGTACTCATTCAGGTGCGGTCCTCATGAGTTGCAGAGTTACAGGAGTCTGTGGGAAGCATTGAAACAGAATGATTGCTCAGAAATAATAACCAAAAGGGATTTTTTAGTGTCCATATACTTCACTACTTTCTTTAAATCTCTGGTGTATTTTCTTGAGTAGAATTCTGAAGACCAGAAAAAAAATAGCAGAAGCCTCAATATGGAGAGGATTCAAAATTCACATTATTCTTTTTTAATAGTTGATCTCCCAGCAGTAAAATAAAGGTCTAGAAGTTGGACTTAAAACTTCTAATTAGTTAAGAAATGAAAAAATAACAGTAAAGAAGAAGCATCAGTTTTGAATGCCAAATCCAGGAAGTAAATCTGTTTACACCATTTCAGATGCTTGTGGCGGGGAGGTTATAGAAGCAGTCTGACATTTCAGACTTGATCCTGGAAAACTAAACTATGATTTTCTCTGGTAGAAAAGTCTGCACTACTATAGGGAATTCATTAGTACTCGAGAGAAAATACTTAATTAGCTCCCAAATATTGTAGTTCATTTGAAGGACTTCTGGAGTTTTCCATTGTATTTAATGAGATTAAACACTCAGAGAAGTGTTTCTCTTCCTCAAAGAGAAAAAAATGAAAAGATACTTAGAAAGTAAAACTTAAACTGAGATTTTATAGAAGTATTTGGTGCAATCTGGGTGACTTTTTCCTGGAAATAAAACAATCAAAAAAGAATTAGCTATTAAAGTCTGTGATATATGATCCCCTATTTAGCTGCTGCTGCAGAAGATGCTTTTAGTGACAGATACACTAAATGGCATTCTGGTATCCTGATTCCATGCAATATTTTTTAGAAGCTGATGCAGTCAAGGGTTTGTGGTAAGTTTTTTTTTGATATTCAGTATTTGAATGGGTGCTCATGGTTTGACTGATTGTTACTCAGCTGAGGATTAGTTTCAGTTTTTTTTCTTGTGTGGCTATTATTTATTGAAAAATTGTTTTTTTCACTATTGTTGTAACATGATCATGACCACACAAGCCTGAGCTTGTCATCCTAAATTTTCTAGTAGTTACTAGAGAGAATTAGGCAACCTTCTTGCTGTGGATTACTGCATGTGCTTTTTAAAAGTACCTGCCATAGGATAAGATGAAACACTCTCTGGATGATCCATCCTTTTGGCTGCAAAGGAGTTTGGTCCATCCAGTGTTGGTCATTCTATAG